ATGTCATTCTAAAACCACAAGATTTTTGGTCTTTGGTTCATTAATATTTTTATTTTTATTCATTTCTGTTCCTCGATTGACAGTCTCTTCACCCAAAATTCTGATGCTTCAAAATGTTTGTAAAGAGATCAAAAATAAATCCATATGAACGAAGAGGTTTAATCCAAGTCTTTTGAAGAGATGCAATAATTTTATATGATGAACAGATTTCATTTAGGCTTTTATTCACATATAATCATTGATCAGTGAACATAAACAGAAGCTCAACAATTCCTGCTTGACAAGCGAGACCGAACCTCATTTGTTCTCACGCATCAAGCAAGCATGTTTTAGCTTCGGTCACCTGATTTAAATGCTGTAAACATTGTTCATTGATCAATGTTTTTATGTGAACAAAAGCCTAAATTAAATTATTCATCTTATAAAGTGATCATATCTCTTCAAAAGACTTGGATTAAACCACTTAATTCATATGGATTTCTTTTTTGATCCGTTTATGAACGTATTGAAGCGTCAGAGTTTTGAGTGAATATACTTTCAATGGAGGGACATAATCAGAGATTTTATTAAAAGTATCTTCATTTGTGTTCCGAACACAAACACATTTCTTTTGGGTTTGGAACTACATGAGGGTGAGTAAATGATAACAGGATTTTCATTTTGGGTTGATGTAACCCTTTAAATGGTAAAACCTCTCTGCACATGTACTGCGATTTATTTACATATCTGAAGAAGACTCCTCAGCAGTCTGCTGATTGAATTTATTCTCTTTCTTTGTTCAGATTGACAAATGGGGCCCGTTTGATCTTCTCGTTGGTGGAAGTCCTTGTAATGACTTGTCCATAGTCAATCCTGCCCGGAAAGGCTTGTTTGGTAAGTCTGGATCCTGAAATCTAGTACGATTCACACATCAAGAGTTACAGTTTTGTTGAACGTGCTACTGCTGGGTGTGCTCAGCCAGCGCTTGATCACATGTCAAAACAGGTAACCGTTAGCATCATTCATTGCATCCGAGATCCTCTTTACTCTCTGCAGAGGGCACAGGGCGGCTCTTTTTTGAATATTATCGGCTTCTGAATGTTATGAAGCCGAAGGAGGATGACCCACAGCCGTTCTTCTGGCTGTTTGAGAACGTGGTGTTCATGCAAACCCAGGTTAAAGCTGACATTTGCCGCTTTTTGGAAGTGAGTGTTTTTCTTGTTTCATAGACGTTTTGATAAATACTCTCAGCAGTTTATGGTAAATTAAAAAGCTCTTACATTCTATATATTTTTTCTTGAATCTTGGGATCACGATTCACACAAGAATGTTTTAGTCTCACAATGTAGTAATAAGTCTGTGTGGTTTGTTTTTAGTGTAACCCTGTGCTTGTTGATGCTGTGAAAGTGAGTCCAGCTCACAGAGCAAGATACTTCTGGGGGAACATACCTGGCATGAACAGGTGTGTGTCAGTTATATTCATATGAATAACACACTTGCTTTTTACCTGGAAAATACACTCAACAGTGTAAACTAAACATCATCCATTTTATTCTGTTTTGACCAGACCAATCATAGCATCTCAGAATGATAAACTCCGGCTTCAGGAATGTCTGGAGCCTGGCCGCACTGCAAAGGTCTGTCGTGAGCTTCTAACCAAAGATATGCAGTACATAGTTCTCTAGTGATGAGTTCTGAAACTGGGTTATGTTTTAGTACAAACTGAAATTTGTACTGTTTTGCAGTATGAAAAAGTTCGCACTATCACCACACGACCAAACTCACTGAAGCAGGGCACCAATGATGCACATTTCCCCATCACCATGAATGGAAAAGATGACAATATATGGATCACAGAAATGGAGAAGTAAGTTTTACTTCTGCTCTTAGCTGTAAATAAACATTCAAATACAAATATGTATTTTATTTATGATGATTCTCACACTTTCACAGAATATTTGGATTTCCGAAGCATTACACAGATGTGAAAAATATGGGGCGTTTGCAGAGGCAGAGAGTGCTGGGGAAGTCCTGGAGCGTCCCTGTCATAAGACATCTTCTAGCACCACTGAAGGATTACTTTGCTTGTGACGAGGTCCCCTTGAAATGAACAGACATGATTTTTTAAAATCTTTTTCTGTCAGTGTGAATAGACAGGGACATGAGAATTTGTTGCTTTTAATGGTTTTACCCTTATTTTTAAACTAAAATGACTACCTGAATAATGTATGCTGGGAAACTATAGAAGGTTGATTCCATTTTATTGAATGTTGCGTCAAATCATGTCACTTTAAAAAAAAGTCTTTCTCAATTTGCAGTCATGTTTAGCTACAAATGGAGTAACAAATTTGATGTGGGGTTGAACAAAATGAATAAACATGATGAGCAAAATGAATGTGCAATGCTCTGTGACGTACCAAAATTACTACCATCTAAGGTAAAGAAAATTATCAAATGTCACAAAACAGTAATTCGCCACATGACATCTTTGCTCCCACATTTTAATTATCTGAAGCATTTTGCCACTTGGTAGCTTTTATGTCCTTATGTCCATAATTATTATACAATGCACAATTTTTTTTTATCTAAGTCACATTTACTATAAGTTGTAATTATGTTGATATTCAGAGTTTTCAGCTTATTTTCTTTAGCATTTTAGTATCATTTTTTAGTATTTAAAAAGTCTTAAACGAGTTAACGTACCAAATTAAACGAGACACAAAACGACTTTTATTTTGAAACGCAAAGACAAGCCTATTTTGGATGGACGGTCATGCAGTCTTCCACTGTAAGTAGACCTTCAGTCCTATTTTACGAAATTTAGAAGCGAAGTAAGGGATAGCAGTATGTGTTGAGTGTCTACATAGATGTCCTATGTAGAGGAATGGCTGCTGTTGGAAGGCCGCTTTCGCTTCATTTGCAGCAGCATCAGCATCCGTTTCCTCTAGGGATGCACGATATATCGGCCACCATATCGGTATCGGCCGATAAATGCTCATTTTTTCTGTTATCGGTATCGGCCTGATAAGAAACTTTGGCCGATATCTTAAAGCCGATAAATAATGCATTATTTCCTTCAGAGACACTTCAGATGCGCGCTGTTCGTTTGCAGCCTTTTGTGCAATTGTACGTTGTAATATTGTGTTTATTTGATGTATATCTGATTTATCTCATATAGAATGCGTTTGGTTAAGTTAAATATTCTCATCTTCCAGTGTCGCTCCTGAACTAGACATGATGCCAGTTGTATGTAAAGGCGTCTTCATTTGAGAGGGCCTCGTTCAAAAAGAGAACATCTTTTCGGTTTGTTACTTTTCCTTTCAGCATTTGATGTAGTGCGCGTGTTAACATTTTCATAATCTACATTCCCGCACATTGCACACTGACTGACAATCGTGTATACAGCACTGATTAATGTAAGAGCAAAGTGCAAAAGCGTCAAATCACCAGATGCCCAACGTTATAGCAAAATATATTAAATTAGGTCTCAGTGTAGCGGGAAGCACAACAATCATAATTCATACAGCCATAGAAAACCACGCGCGCTAACTTCACATTAGTTTATAGATGTTATTAAATAACTAACTTAAAGGTATGAGACTAAATATGTAGTTGTGATTTCAGAGAGATTTTACACGTCTAATTAAGCAAAATATGTTAGTGTGATCGAGAATTTTTTGCTGACTTCTTAAAAAAAATCTTTTGATTAAATGCAGTGAAGCTAAACTTCACACTTAAATGGTAAGAAACTAATCTTTTAGTTCAGAGGTTTCAGAGGCTAACATTAACATTACATTTTCAGACGTCGTCTTAGTTTGTTTCTCTGTAGTTTCTCTTTCCTCCTTTGAAAATGTAAAAGAAAAGGTGAGTCTGTCAATCATGTGGACTAATGTATTTGTTGCTAACAACAGTTCATTTGTAATGCAATGGGTGCCTGAGATAACCTATCACTCCCCGAAAACCCCTTTTCTTCTGGTTGGATCTCAGATTGACCTACCAGATGATCCTACAACTATTACAAGGCTTGCAAAAAACAAACGAAAGCCAATCAAACCAGAGACAGCTGAAAAACTAGCCAGACTTAAAAGCAGTGAAATATGTTGAATGCTCTGCTCCAACACAGGTAGGTTATACGTGTCGGTATGTTGTTTATAAAGCCAAGTGTTTTTCTTTATTTGTGTAACAAACCGATTCACTTTTTTTCCTATGTTACAGAAAGGACTAAAGAATGTATTTGATGAGGCATTATTAGCAGCTCTAGAGCCCCCAGGATCCCAGAAGACATGCAAATGTGTTATTTTATGAACTGGACACAGCAGCATCTTCAAAGACAAATCTGGTTTTATTTTTGTACAGGTTTTTATCAGGAAAGTAACAATAGGTTTTAATCAGTTTTTTTCCCCCCATCATATACCTTGCTACTCGTGTCACATGATAGGATGATATGTGTGCAGATTGTAATCTCTTTACTCATTTTGTGTGCCACTTTTGAAGTCATTAGTTTAATATATGTGTGATGTCTGTTATCAGCTGAATTTAGAAGACTTCACTGAGCCAAATGAATATGACTTGCCCCACATTATGTCAAGTTGAGTCACTGGGGAATATCTAAGAAATCTGTATTTTAAATAAAAATATAAACAATCATATATACAGAAACTATTCAGAGTCTGATCTTCTTTTAAAAATATCCATAGTATTTCAGTGTGGTGGCAAATGTTTACATAGTTTTATACACTGCCACTTTACCAAAAAGTATATACCAAATACATTTTTAGACTAGGATAAACTTGTCATGGAGGGGGGAAATGATCAAAATCAGTTTTCTCGTGTTATTTCTCTAACATGGACAGCTGTATATGATGGGCCCTTTTTAAATATTTAGCCACATGATGAAAAATTAAGCGGGCGGTATAGCTCACTCCCCCATTACTTTAGTTTTAAGCAATCCTTTCAAACAGTAGCAGCTGCATATGCAATTGTCATCATTTTTAAATACTTTTTAATATGTATAATGTAGATAAAGATAAATTCATTTTATGGGAACATGTCTGAAACGCAAGTTCTTAATGACGGCCCTCCTTATTAACACAAAACATGAATGAGTCTGTTTAGGGTACTCCGTCTCAGTGCAACAGTTTTTGGGAGATAATACGAATGCACTGATAATTAAGGCCTTTGGAAATAAACATCTAAAAATGGATTTATATATGTAGTTTAAAAATAAATACAGAATGAGGAGTCTTCAAATACAGTCTTCAAGCCTCATACAACACTGAGAGATGCACTTTTAACTTTTATAAGGCCTTTAAGTTTACATATAACAGCGTTTCTCATAACAAAGAACAAATTCAGACAGTAAGACACTATCACTCTTCAGCTGCACAGATCTCCACACTACTGTTGGTGACCCGAATCCCATACCAGCCTGCCCAAAACTGTGTATCCTTCCCACCATGAGTGAAACGGATAAACCGAACCCCAGGTCCATAATCCTTAAAGACATATGTCATCTGAAATTTTTGTAAAAATGTATATTTGGTGAGAATGACAGTAATTTTTTAAAGGGTCAGCTGATAGTATTTTATTCTACTCACTTCACACCACTGCTGATCATTCCACTGTGGAAAGAAAACTGGTTCAGGCTCAAAGGTATTGATGGGTTTCTTCTTCTGATCAAGCAACTCTACACAGATCTGATACATGCTCCCACAATCGCAGCGCGGAGCGTACCTGCACCAGACAAAACATTTGCAAAATAAACTTTATTAACTGGTATAATAAAGGAAACACTGATACTGTAAAATTAGAGTTTGAGCAAATGATGTTTTATTAACAAGGTTCGGGAGGAGCGCGATCAGATAATCAATCAGTCTGGCCCAGGTGGAGCTCGTCAGCTAATCACCTTAACAAGCACATACGTGTGTATGTACAAACCCAATTCCAAAAAAGTTGGGACACTGTACAAATTGTGAGTAAAAAAGGAATGGAATAATTTACAAATCTCATAAACTTATATTTTATTCACAATAGAATATAGATAACATATCAAATGTTGAAAGTGAGACATTTTGAAATGTCATGCCAAATATTGGCTCATTTTGGATTTCATGAGAGCAACACATTCCAAAAAAGTTGGGACAGGTAGCAATAAGAGGCAGGAAAAGTTAAATGTACATATAAGGAACAGCTGGAGGACCAATTTGCAACTTATTAGGGCAATTGGCAACATAATTGGGTATAAAAAGAGCCTCTCAGAGTGGCAGTGTCTCTCAAAAGTCAAGATGGGCAGAGGATCACCAATTCCCCCAATGCTATGGCGAAAAATAGTGGAGCAATATCAGAAAAGAGTTTCTCAGAGAAAAATTGCAAAGAGTTTGAAGTTATCATCATCTACAGTGCATAATATCATCCAAAGATTCAGAGAATCTGGAACAATATCTGTGCGTAAGGGTCAAGGCCGGAAAACCATACTGGATACCCGTGATCTTCGGGCCCTTAGACGACACTGCATCACATACAGGAATGCTAATGTAATGGAAATCACAACAT